TAAAGGCATCCTCTAAGCTCCCGTCTAGAAAGGATCTACAGCCTTCGGATTCCCCACTGACAGAGCCTTCAAAGAGCAGCCGTTCCGTGACCACGGGCACCTCTGAGGAGGTCAGCCTCTTGACCAGCTGCTTCGTGATGTTGCCTTCAAAGGTGTGCAGTTCCACAGGCTTGAGTTCAGAGGCCTCATCGGATGCTTGCAGAAGAGCCTCTGCAACATCATTCTCAATGAACAGGTGGTCAGGCTCAGCGCCTGCGGGTGGCTGGTGGCCCTCAGAAGTGGTCGAGGCAGCCTTCTCGCGTTTTCTGTGTTCCTCCACGTTTGACTTTGGCTCCTGGCCTTCTGCCGAGGAGCTTCTGGAAGATGCTGAGCTGCTGTCATCTGCGCCTTCATTCTGGGAGAACAGGCTGCTGTCATTGAGCTCCGCAGGGGTGATAGTAATTTCTGGGTGAGCTGGGCAAGTCTTGGGGGGAGAGGCCACAGAGTTGGAGGGTAGGGCGCAGTCCCCATTGGGTAGGTCGCTAAAGCTGAGGGATAGTGGCGTTTTCTCCTTAGCTGCCTTTCCGTTCTCAAAGATGTCATCAGGTAGATTAGAAAAGAAAGAATGATCTTTGAAGGTGGGCGTTTCCGGGGTGCCCTGGCTGAACATGGACATTCTCCGCAGAAGGGCAGCCGCCTTGTTCCCAGTGCCCGAAGTAGGAGTCATGTCCTCCACATCGAAGGGATACCAGGTGATTTTCAGGTTCAGTTTGACGGTGCCAAGGTCATTGATGTCAACAGCTACCACCTGAGGATGAGCTGCAAACAGCTCTTTGGTTTCACAGGTCACACTGCCCACCAGGAGGTGCGTTGCCAACCCCTTGAGCTCTGTGACCTTGATGGAAATCAATCCGACTATCAGGGGCAGGAAGACCATTTCTTCTCCATCCCAGCTCTGTTTGCCATTGACTTCTATTTTGCCTTTCAGTTTCCACCTTTGTCGGCCATACTTCATGAAAATTTCATATTGATCTCCAGGGCAGAGACGAGCAAAGCCAGCCAAACCTTTCATCCTGATAGAGAACTCCCCCAGCAGACTCTCCAGCTCTGCTTCAATGGTGCACATGTTCTCTGTGTACTCTTTGTAGCTCCGGTTGATCTCAGAGAGGCTCTCACGAGCAGCTTTGCTGGCAGGGGACGTGGCAAAGGCTTGCTTCATTTTGCTGGCTCCATCCTGGAGGCGTCTTTGGATACAATAAGCTTCACAGAGTTCATCTACCTTACTAATGTGAAACTCCAGGCGTCGCATGTACTTTTTGATTGTTTTAATTTGCTTGTCTAGGTCATACTGCACACCCAGGCAAGAGTTTCTTCTCATATCTTTTAACTGAGCTGTCAACTTGTCCAGCTCCTTCTGGTGAACCTCCAGATACTCATCAAGTCCATGCTTCAAGGCCCTATAGACCTCTTCCACCCTTTTAGGTTGAGGTTCTTTGGGAGTGCTGTTGTTTTTGTGTCCTAAATTGTGCATTTTCTTGAGTTTGGCCTGAGGCTTCTTGACAGCAGAGGTATTTTCAATGAAGGAGTTACACCTGGATCGTCTTTCCTGAAGGCCACTGAACCTTGCTAAAGACTGGCTTCTAATGACCCCATTGGGTCCTCCAGGTGAGAAAGACAGAGACCCTACCAACATGATTGCTGGGAGTCTGGTTGGTAGTCCTAAAGCCGAAGGTCCCTTGTCATGACAGGGGGTACTGAGGACTCCTCTGGCAAATAAAAGGGTCCGCGCCAGTGCAATGGCTCAGGCTGCTGGCAGCAGCTCGGACTTGGGCGGCAGTCTGGACTCCTCACTCTGGGGAAGGGGAAAGGGCTCTGAGAAGCAGTCAAATCCCACAGTCCCCGACGCCTCTTGTCCTCTCTGGTCCTAGTCCTTTTTTTCTGATTGCCATTTGCTTGATATTTTTCCCCAACCCCTTTCTTTTTAGTCTTTCTTTGCCTCACTTTTCAGGTTTGTCTATATTGGACAACATATTGATGGGTTGTTTTGTTTTGTTTTAATTGACTCTGCTATTTTTTTTTCTCTTCAGTGCTGCATTTAAACCATTCACATTCAGTGTATTTATTGAGAGATAAGGTTTTATTGCAGTCATTTTGTTGAGTTTATTTTAGTGTTTTTGCTGGTTACTTTGGCTATCCAGCTTTCTGTGGCATCTCTGTAAGAAGGACATCTCTCAGTGTTTTCTGCAACACTGGTCTTAATTTTTACAAACTCCCCTAGGTTCTACTTTTCTGAGAATATCTCGATCTCACTTTCATATTTCATGGACAGTTTTACTGGGTACAGAATTCTTGATTAACAGTTGTTTTCTTTGAGTGTTTAATATATGTCATTCCACTATCGTCTTGCTTTCAAGGTTTGTCTTGAGAAAACAGCACTTACTCTTATTTGCTCTCCTTGATAGGTTACTTCTTGTTTCTCCCTAGCCTTTTTTCAGAATTCTCTCTTTATCTTTGATTCTGGCAAATTTGACTATAATATGTCTTGGTGGGTTTTTTATGTGGTGTTCACTCAGCTTCTTGAATATATATTCTCTCATTCTTTTTTTAAAATAATTTTTAATTTTAATTGTCATTTTAACAAAAGTTTATAAAAAAGTTGCATTTTCATTCATTCCTTGTTGCACATTTTACCCCCTCTCCCTCCCTTCCCACTTCCCAAGTTGAGTTTTATATTTTCTTTAGTTTATTTACAAAATTATACTACAAATTTGAACAAAGTTTTTCAATTTCCTTCACACCCTCCCATCAAATTGTACAACCCAATATTAATCCCCTTTCTCCCCTGTACATACACATCCCTCTTATTCCATCCTCTCCCACCCATCCTGGATCCTTATACTCATTCTACAATAACGGTCTTATACAATAGTTATCCTTGTGGGACTGAGTTAGTTCCCTCAGCATAATGCTCTTCCAGTCCCTCCAAAGTTAGGTAAATAATTAAAAAAATCATTGCTCCTGCATTCTGCATAGTATTCCATTGCGTGAATGTGCCATAATTTCTCAATCCATTTGATTGTGGTTGGACATTTGGGCTATTTCCATGTTCTTGCAATGGTGAATAATGCTGCTATTAGCATTGGTGTACAAATCTCAAGTTTGTGCCTCACTTCTTATATTCTCAGGGTATATTCCAAGTAGTGGAATAGCTGGGTCATATAGAATTTCTATGTCCAGCTTTTTTTTGCATATATGATATTAAACTTTAATAAACTAAAAATTATTTTTTCTTTTTTAATATGAAATATTCCTGTTTTACAGAAATCTTTGATTTGTCAAAAATTTCATTAAATGCCACAGTCAGCATATCAAGAAGAATTTGCTT